TTTTGGGAACGCCGGACCCCCAGGAGCAAAAAATTCCGGCCGGATTTTGGCAAAAAATGTTAGTTTTGATTTCGTTCAAAAAATATAATATGTCCGTTTTGACGAAATGACTGTTATTAGGTTAATTTAGGTGAGATCGTGATATGGGGGTTTATTCTCCATGAACTTATAGGCTTAGCTTGGGGATTGGTCTGTCTTGTGTTACAGGTCCTCTAGACCGTTTGATTCAGGATTTGGACTAGTTTCAGCTTGATCTTACAAGGATCATCTTTTGTTATCACTGATAACAGGTCGGTCGCCAATTCGCCGGTGTACTACTCAATTCCAACTCACACTCCGTACTCAACCTAAAAGGCTTTAGCCCTGGTGATCTTATTGTTTTATTAAGGTTTTCACCCGGACTTTTATTGAATGGCTATTTAACAAAAGGGCAGAGTATTTAATTATGGTTGGTTGGACAAGAGATTGGGGCTTGCATGGCTAAAGCGAGGGGTATGAGTGCAAAGGGTGGTTGGGGTTGACTCCGTGTAGTGTGTAGACTGTTGTTTGATTCTTGGGTGTGACTGCAGGTATGTTTTTGCAGCTCAGATGATGGACCTTGATTGTCTGGGACGACATATATACATATGGTTGTGGAGAACCCCACTGAGATTGTGAGAAGTGATCGTCACATACTTACCCCCTTATATATGCATACATGGGTGTACCTGGGATGTATGTCTGCGTGGCGTAAGGGTCCCCGTGCTTAAAGCCTACTCAGAGGTTAAGACTGAGGGGCATAGGGAAGACCCTTCCTTTTACTTGTTTGCTTCTTGGGGGGTTTCTTGGTCGGATGTTGGTCCTGGGTCGGGATTCGAGGTCCTTATCCAGGATATCCCAAGCCTAGACTCTACAGGGAAGGGAAATCCCCTCGCGCAGAGCCTATTTACTCTGCCCGTCGAGACACCCAACCCTGAGGGCAGAAGTGTCGCGAGGGCCGAACGACATGTCCTTCAGCCGTTCAATATCGTGAGGGGTGACCCCTCGCGATATATTCCTTCAGCCATTCAATATCGCAAGGCCAGAGCCGCGATTACCACATAAGACTAGCATTGTTGGTAGGTATAGGACTGACTTGCGACCGCGCGGCTTTATATCAAACCCCTGCACGCGACGCTTCACCGTCCTAGTGTCTAAAGGTTATGGGATTAAGGGACCCGCGCGTACACGCAAATGTTCGAGATGGTTATAGGTCGCTGGTATTAACCGAAAAGGGTAGTACCCAAGGTTATGAGCTTTCTCTTGATAAGGGGACCCCCAACCTACTTTTGTTTTTGAGAGTTATCATGGTTGGACGTTATAGTCCATGGCAGCCGTCAAAGTCAAACCCCTTGACTTCTGTCCCGGCCCGGAGTGAAACTCACCTCCTGGGCAGCAAGAAACGATTGTCACCACAGGTATGGACTTGTGTATCACACACTCTGCACAGAGTGCAGAAGAGGGTGTGTGGTCTTCAACTGCGCATGGCGGTTGTCCAGCGTCGAGAGCTTAACCTTCAAGGCGCGTGTCAGCCGACACTTGAGTGTTGAACGCGGCCCTCGAGATTAACGAGGACCGCATGAGCATGGGTACTACATAGTACGCCATCATTGCGACCGCTTGCGTATGATTGCCTTGCGAGTCGGCATGAGTAGGCCCTGCGTCCGCACGGTCTTATACTTAGCCTCGCGCATGACGCCTATTCCGATTTCCGCATCGGAGAGTTATGGGATGGCGACTGAAGGGACTAGGAGCGTTGTCGCATGTTTGTGTTGTGTCGTTTCGTGTGCGTATGTGTGTGCGTTTTACTTTCTTTGTGTCCGTAAGGTGGTGTGTGCATGGTGTGTGAGATGCGTCCTAGTCGACCGACGACGAGTCGCGCTTGGGACCTCAGCCCCCCTAGATGTCAGTTCGTGTGCGGGTCCGATAGAGGCGTATTACCGCGCGTACCCCCTATGCTACAACGAACGAGAAACGCCCTCGGCTGGTCCACCTCTGCGATTGCAACTGATCAGCTTTCGTACTGTGGACTGGTAGCTCAGCAGGATACGCCCACCGAAGGGAGGTGACAGCTCCCGTAAGGTGGAGGTAAGTCGTGCCTCGCGTAGGCCCTATCCTGTCGTAGGGGCTCGCAGGAGGTATGGCTGGCGCACTCGGCCAGAGCGGCCTGCGGAAGCTCCATGTATATTGAGACGAAGGATATAAACCAACTCTTGCGTGACGCGGTCGGGAGGGTCCCGCGCTGCCCTGTGCGGTGCCGGACTGATGCGCTCGATATCGGACAAAAGTAGGAAACTCGTCGATGCAGTTGTGCGTGTGTCACGCAACGAGGTGGTAATGAAGGGGTCCAATTTCGTGCCTATGCGTGGGCGTCCTTGTGCAGATGGGGGGCCAGATTTGGTGATAGCAGGCAAGGTCAAAGATTTTTCGTTGTGGCGTGAGGTGGAAGAGAAAGTGTCCGACATACGAGACTGCATAGGGAATTCCTTGGCATGATCAGGAGTGTTTGTTAGGATGAAATACATGTCCGTATTTGCGAAGGATGCAACAGTCGAGGATCCTTAGATCCACGTATATGGATCATCAATGAATGCTATGTACGGCTTCGGCTCACGACCTCGTCCGCGAAAAACCCTGGACGTCACTAGCTCTGGACGGGTTGTCAGACGTTGTGTTTAAGGGATAAGGAGCGAGAGGTGTGAGAGGCATGTGTGCATCCGTCAATGGTAAATGCGGAGTAGTGGAGAGAGGTGTAAGAGGCAGTAGTTGCAAGTAGACGCTATACCGCGCACTTGTAGTGTGAACCCCGAGCAATCCACTAAAACTCATTTCCGTCTAGTCTCCAATGACACTATGGTTTTGCTACTGCGCAGTAGATTTCACGAAACACGCAAGTACATAACCTATATGTCGTACTTCGCGTCTCCCTCCAGCACCCTCCTGGAGTTCGGATCCCGACGAACTTCGCGTTCGCACATGCCCTTTGATCTGACTGTGGTCTTCCTTGTGCCCCTTCATCGGACCCCCATTTTCGTCTAACCTCAGACGTGCGTATGGATCCCTGCTGCGTCTCGGGTTGTGATAACCGCACAAGTGCGGATCCAGTCTTTCTCTATGTCTCTCTTTCTCGCAGCCTCCTTAAGTTCGGATCCCGGCAAACTTCGTGTTTCGCCTGTCTGTTGAACAGACAATGGTCTTCCTGGTCCCCAGTGGATTGTAACAACAGCCCGAGTCCGCCCGAATCCGGACTTCTCTTTTCGCCCGGACAGGCGTTCGAACTTAGCTGCATCTGACGGCGAGCTACGCATGACGCCAAATCGTAAAGCAGAAGAAGTGCCGATGCGAGCGGACTTTTCCTTTTCAACTAGCCTTTCATGCAAGTGTGGACTTCCTGGCTCCTCGTTGAGTTTAACAACCACAGAATTGCGGATCGTATGTCTCTTTCACCGTCTTTCTCTATCGCACCCTCTAAGTTCGGATCCCGACGAACTTCGCGTTTTCGGCTGCGCGTTGGTTTATTTGTGTTCTTCCTGGTACCCGATGGATCGCGCGAACCACCCTGGTTCACCCGCGTCCGGCTTCTCGTTTTGCCCGTGTGTTGTTCTCGACTGTGCTTGCAGAGGAACGACCTTGGAACGATGGCTGCATCAGCTGACGCGCTTCGAGCTGTTGCGGAATCGGAAAGCAGAAAAAATTCAGGTGCCGGCGCACTGCGAATTCACATGTGGCCTCAAATGCTACTGCAGTCTTGCTTGTTCCCCGTGGATTACAGAAATCACAAACATTCAGATCCTGTCTCTCTCTCTCTCGGGCTCTCTCTCTCGCACCCTCTTTAAGTTCGGATCCCGGCGAACTTCGCGTGCTCACCTGTCCGAATCGGGGTCCGGAAAGTCTCTGTGGGCAGAGGCCACTGACCCGTCGAACCGACATCCGAGCTTCGCATACTGAGCGGAGGCCAGTGGCCCGTCCAGCGCGAGCTACGAACAGGACCGCCCACCGACTCCTTTGCGACATGCCCGCATTCTAAGTCCGTCTGCATCTGAACTTCACCTAATGCGGCAACAGTCGTGTGGTCCACAGACAACGAGAGAGAGGTCCAAATCCATATGTGCAAACTGAGGGTTCCATGCTGCGCTCCGCCAGGATAATATTCGTGTTCGTGAGTATGACGTGCCTCAATAATCTAAGTCCGAATCCCGGCGAGTTGCGGTTTAAGTTATTTCCACCGGCATGCATCAGCGCTAGTGAAAGTTATGTCCGCATGATGTGTGTCCCCTTTCCAAAGATTGTTCGCGTTGATAGGCGGGAGTTGTTAAATGGCTTCGTGTACGAAGTTCGCCGTGATCCGAACTTCTTGGTTCGGGAACGAAGTGATGTGGCCGGCATGTGCAGTGGAGTGTTTCCCACCCGTGTTTTTGATGCTGCGTTACCGCCTGCGTTGTGGTTTCACTGTGACTTGACTGTTTCTGCTCTTGTTTTCCGAAACCTGACAGCGTGGTGGTCTGCTTCATTCGCGTTGTCGTTCGCAGACACGATGTCTTCGTCGAGGGGCGAGGGGGAGCCTGTCGGGGCCTCCGGGATGGGATCAGGAAAAGATTCCACAAAGTGGTCGTTTACGGCCTCGAAATCGTGGTCGGACCACTCAAGGTCAAAATGGTTTGTCGACTGGTGTTGTGAGGATGCTTCCAACCCCGTTAAACAGGCGTGTGGTCCTGTCATCTTCGTCGACGCCAACAAGCGGCGTAGGGTTCTGGGGGCCGTCTTGCGGTGGGAGGACGCGAAAGGCAGTCGTCGACGCTTCTATATGCAAAAGGTTTACGGTGCGAAGGGCAACGTCATTGGCAGTTCCAAGGGGGCACTGCTGGACATGGATTTGTTTGAGGGGTTCGGAGCGGGTGCTGTGAACACCCCATTCTACAATGAACTCCTGCGGCAGGGCGGGTTTGTTTTGGGTCGAGCTGTCAATGCCCTTGCAGTTGTGCGGTGGATGTCAATTCCAAGGGGGCGCCGACGTCCTCGACGTCCCCTGCGACAGAGGAGCTGTCAATGCCCTTGAAGTTGTGCGGCGGATGTGAATCTAGTGGGGCTGCGACAGAGGGGGGGAATCTGGGTTCCAGTGCGGCTACTCAGCTGCAGCAGACGGATAGTCGTGGTCAATTTGGCGACATCGAAGATGAGGCAACACTGCTAGCGACGTCTTCGCCGTTGACCCGAAGAAACCGGTCCGTGCTATGTATACCTGGGGTCCGGCAAGCAACAGCAGTTCGAGAGGAGGTCGCAGCGGATCCCGGAAAGGCGGCAGCGCAGTGTGAGCTCGACTTGGAGACTGTCGAGGGGCATGGCACGGAGAACAAGACCGTGGGCGGAGAGGGGACGCAGGGCACTCCGCAAAAAAGAAGGAGAGATCGTAAAGACGACTTGGTCGGCTCTTCAAAGAAACAGAAGACCAAGACCCCTAAGAGTGCGGGGGAGAAACGGAAGGGAACGGGGAGGAATAGGACCGCCCGGGTAGCAAGCGTCCGGCTTCGAAACAGAAGCAGTCTGCATCGTGGCCTTCCTCGCCACGGCGTGCCATCCATGTGGATGCCGGGTACTTCCTGGAGTATAAAGACGGCGTTAGGACAAGGCGGGAGTTTGAAATTAGCCCGGCTCAGGTTGTCGACCTCGGGGAGTGGGAGGATCTGTACAACCAGCGGTCCCTGGATCCCGTCCTGGTTGAAGGGATCAAATAAGCGATGTGGTTGGCATTCGAAAACAAAGAACAGTCGTACGAGTTGCCAGCCCTGAAGCTCGCGCCGTTGGGGCTGCAAAAACCAACTTCCGGGAGCAAGGCACAACGCCTGAAGCCGAAGGAATGGAAGGACAAGCTGGCAGGACAATACTACTACTACGTGGTGTGTGGCCAGCATAACGCGGCTGCAGCCCGATCGCTGCTCGGCAGCGAGGTGGCCAGGAAGTACAATTTTGAGCGGTGGCCGGCACGAATGCTGTACTTTTCAGAAAGTGACTTCGAAGGGTATTTTCTTGTTAGTGCCCAAGACAACAAGAAGGACCTCAAGGCACCTCCTAGACAGTTGAAACTGTCTATGAAAGACATTCGGTGGTAGTAGAAGCATGACGATTTCCTTAGAGCTGTCATGGGGAACCCTCGCGGGAAACAGGATCAGGTCCGGAAATGGCGTGAGTTTGGCACAGTGGGGCTTCATAAGGCGCCGCACAACGACTTGTGGATTCTCGCAGATCAAAAGGGAGAGGAAGCCGTTAAGAAGCAAAGTGCTGCCCTGCGTTCTTATTTCCCTCTGACGATGGCCGAAGAAAATGTCTGGAAACTGACCATAGTTTTTTTTGAAAAATGGACGACGGGAAGATTGTTGAGCCACGACAAAGCAAAGTGGATCGTCAAGAAGAAGAAGGTCAAAAACGTCAAGTCTGGGGTCGCCTACGTCAACAACGACAAGTTGGGAAGAAAGGAGGTGGTGTACAATGTCCCCGTGGAGCCGCCTACTAAGAAAGGCAAAAATAAGAAAGAGGAGGGTGATTGGTTCGTCAAGTGCCGGACCCGGACGTGCATTGTTGAAAAGCGATGGAATCACTCACCGACAATGAGAAGTGTCGTGTTCTGAAGAAGGTGCTTGCTTGCGAGGTCGTTTGGGTCCAGGCTGGTTCCCCGTCGTTGGCGAAGCTGGGGAAGCTCAGTGTGCAGGAAATGGTGCAGTTGGTGAAGTGCGACCATGTGTTAATCCAGTTGTGGAATTACTACCAATTCAAGCACGAGAAGAGGTCGGACACCGATTGGATCCAAAAGTACCCTTTCCTGAAATCGAGTTCTGCCGTGTTCAGAAAGTTTGGAAGTCGGGGATTGGATGACGATCTGTGGGACGGTAGCAGGAAACACGTTTCAAACTCGGCGTTGTTCAAGGATTGTCTGCCGTATATGGGTTGCAAGGAGGACCACTCGATCGAGGCGACGGAAAAGTTGGCGGGCCACAAGAAGTTGACCGTCGACTGGAGAAACAAGGTTCTCTCCGTGTTGACTCGGAGTAGACTGAAGAGCCGGGAGATCACACTTGCCGAAGGCATTGTCCACATCAAATGGAAAGACACAGGGGACGCGACATCCATCGCGCCATTCGGCAGTGACCCTTTGGAGGCGGACATCAGGAGTGCAGAGTTGAAGGAAGCAGTGGCTGCCACAAAGAGTCCCACGTTCGTCATTGATCTATGCGAACCGGTTGACCTCAAACTGTGGAAACCCCAAGCGTGGGAGCCTTTGAATTCCTACCTTCAGACGTTGTGTCCGTCACATTGGACTCTCGTTGTCTTCATGCCGCGGCAGCAAAACCTCTCGTTTCTCGCCAGCATGCACCACCTTTCTTTCATAAAGCTACTGGAAGGGAAGTGGGTGAGGAGCAACTAGCAAAAGAAAAGCTTCCCCATGGGGAACAATTTGTACACGGAAGACGACCGCATGTACATCCTCTTCAAGGGTGACGATCTGCGCGTCAACACGTCTGTAGTCTATGAGGGGAGGTTGCCTAAGGGTGTCACTGCTGCGGTGCGGTTGCCTCAGAGGGTTACCCAGACAAATGTGTCGGATATTCCCTTCACGCCTTCCGACTGGTCGCAGACCGCGCCGGAACGACAGTGCAGTGTCTACGGTGACATGGAACGCAATCCGACACAACTCGTCGGTCTTCTTGATTTCCTTAGCAAGAAGGGAGAGGATGTCGTCTTGCTTGGGAAACGGCACGCGCGAAGCGTGTGGGAACTTATGAAGGCAGGCCGGCACGTCTTCGCGATGGAAGGTAACTCCGACCTCTTGCAATTCGCGATGCAACTGGTCAAAAGCGAGGTCAATTCGGGGGCGCACAATTGCGAGTTCATGGTCGTGAAGGCAATACGGGATCGGGTGTGGAGCAACAAGACTAACATGTGGTTCAAGTTGAGCGAGAGGAAGAGGAACAAGATATACGACTTCTTGTTCCTTCAAACGCGGTCGAGGAAGGAGACAAACGCCGAGTACGTCCGCCACAAGGACCACATATTGGCATTGCTCGACAACCAGTACTTCGCCTCCCGCATGAACGAGAAGACCTTTCTCGAAAGGCTGCAGCCGCTGTACTTCGTTGAATCCGAGGAGCAGTTGAAGTTTGGCAGTTACGCTTCCTTGATCTCCACTGATGACGAGGCAGCCACCGGTGTGGAGTTCGACGCCAATGTGAAGGAGGAGGAGAGCGACACCGAGAGCCTTGACCTGCAGTGTGACCCACATCCGTCGGAGCACGCCCGAGCGTCGTCGTCGACCGGTCCGTCATCAAGCGCGGCACCCCTCGTGTCACCGACGGCCAGACTAACGCCGGCACTACGCCGATGGAGTAGCTGAAGAGACTCAGAGCTCTGGCCGTCCCACCGTGCGCATTGCGTCCAGGGTCCGACATTCCGCCCGATCATCCGATGACAACATCCACTTCCTGCTTGAGCCACAAAGTCATTCGCCTGAGGTGGACTGGGGTCATGACATGATTTGGCATCCAGGAGTCATCCAGCCAGCGATACAAAAGGGCGAGTGGGTCATGGCCATCGCAGTCCCAGGCGCGGGATGGGTGTCAATCCCACGCGAGTCGAAGTCCTACTTCCTGCACCTCGCGAGGATTTCGGTCCTCCAGAAAGTAAGGGCCGAAAATGACAGGTTTGCACCCGACGACCTGTCCGTCGTTTCCACAGCCGGGCGACTATTCGACGAGCTTCAGGACAACTGCTGGTTGGAAATGACGGAGGACTACTACGACCTCGACACGAGCCCATCGAAGGGCGTGGTGGACGGGAAAGTGCCCCCTCCCACTGGGCCGCACGGTAGTCTCGGGAGGGGGGCACCTGGAGGTGGAGGGGACGGGGGTGGTGGTGCAGGGGGTGGCAAAGGAATCCCGCCTGGTGGGGAGGGAGGGTCTCACGGGGGGACCATGACAACGGGAGGCAGCGGCGGGGTGGCGGGTTTTGCCGTCGATCGGCATCCGTCTACTGGCCCCTGGCAGGAGCATACGACACAGTCCGCCGACCTCCCGACTTCATCCGTGGCCTCGGCGAGGGAGGCATTGGCAGCCTTGGTTGCTCTCGGCAGCCGCTCCGGCGGAACGTTGAAGTCCGTCGGGATCCAAACTACGTCGGTTGAGGAGCCGCCAGAGCGGTCCGCCCTGCAGAGCCGCTCGGGGTTGGGGGAGCCGAGCCAGGATTCAACATTTGGCAGCGGTGCGGTGAGGGACGGAAATGTGTCGCCTAAGCGGGAGCGACCACCGCCAGGCTTGCAGCGAGAGGCTACAAGTGCAGGGTCCGGCGACACGGAGACGACGAAGTCCGCCGAGATTCGAACTTCTTCAGGCGAGGGGTGTCGGCCAGGGATTGTTGTGCCGCCGAGAGGGGCAGCATGCACGGAGACAGAAGGGCGGTCCTTGGGATTCAACACAGGCACCGGGGAAGGGATTGAATTGCATGGAAGGGAAGTAGGGGAGGGAATGGAGGAAGGGAAGGAAGCGCAAGAAGGGGAGGAAGAAGGGGAAAAAGGGGAGGAAGGGAAGGAAGGGGGAGAAACGGAGCTCATTGAAATGCTTGAAGGAAGAGAGGGTGCGAAAGGGGACGTGAGTATTGGAGACGACGAAGGGGAGGACAATGAGGACGATGCCAGACAGGAGAGTCGTATGACGAGTTCGGACAACTGTACGGAGAGCATCACGAGGATGATGTTGACGACGATGCCACGACAATGGAGATAGAGACACAGGTGGTTAGCAGCCTTTCTGTAGAGCCTGAAGACTATGAGGTCCAACCTGACGTCTGCCGTCGATTTGCAACACCGGTTCGACGAGGCTGCCGTTGCTATGAGCCCGTCTAAAGCAAGTCGTCGTATAAGCATCGACGAAGTTATCGATGGTATCCTCGGTAACCAGCACGTGTCCGCGCATCCGTCCGCAACGCCTGACGTCGACAATGCTGGCAACGTCACATCTTCCATGGCAGCTGCCCTTGCTTCCTCGCCGCCGAACTCTCCGGTGCTGCCGGCCACCCTCGCCGGCGGAGGGGAAGGCGAGGTCAGGGGACGACCACATGTCACGTCCCCTAAAAAATCTAGGGTCGGCAGTCAAGCTCTCGACGTGCTCGCTTTGCCCGTGCCAACTTAACCGATGAAGGAGCGGGGAGACAAACCGACTGGTAAGCCGTGAAGAACGCCACACCGTCTGCGCGCCCAGGATTACGAAAACGAGATAGGGGATTCCTTCGTAGCGGATGTCGGCGCACTAGAGCCCTCGCCATACATACGATGAATGTCCACACTGTCTGTCGATACAGGAAGTTTCGGATGCCGACATACTACAGCCACCAGTCCTTCCAACTATATCTCATCGGCTATTCTGTGGGTCCGCCGGGTTGCTGGTCGTGGGCAGCAAAGACTTCATCGAAAACATAACACTCCATCTAAGGAAGGATCTTTCCTTCTGTGAAGTGTGTTTTTATTAACGCATTCCCTCTCAAAAGTCTTCCCGGCTAAGAAACTGGCCAAGAAAATGCACTATTGGGTTTTCCTTCTCGGAAATAGTGTCGGTTTTAGTCCGTCGAAATCCGACCTTCCTATGTCGATGCGTAATGTGGTCAGTCTCTCTGGGTCTGGTGTGTTGATAAATCCACCGCAATCCGAACTTGGGGGAATCCTCGCCTTCGGCCTCTATGAGTTGTGGTGGTTTTCCTTTATAAAGGGCGGGGGTGTTAAGCTTGAATGCGGCATTCGTTTTGTTTTCCAGCCGCACACACTCACCTCGGTGCTCATGACCAAACAAAATCAGGGTCCTGTGATCGGAGAGGTCCTGCCTGGCTGTTGCGTCTGTACGATTGTATGGTTCTCACATTGTCACTTCCGTCAGATTCATGTTGGGAAACGTGTATTCATTTTCCGTTATATCTTTCTTTTGTTGTACAGGGATGGGGTCATCTCGAACACGGAGGTCCTCGAAATATCCAGAACACATATTGCAGAAAGTCATCGGGTTGACGACAAAACACAAAGAAATGTTAAAGGCATCAGGGGTTGATGTCGAGATTGGGAAGAATGAGCACGCTGTTGCTATTGACGAATGTTTTTCCTTCTTGGCCCTAGAAAAAGGGACATATCCACGATCTGTGAGTAGGGGTCAGGCCATGTATGAGAAATACTTAGCAACGCGTCGTGCAACGGGGGATAATGCCGATAACTCTTTTTCTCACTGCCCCACGTGTCCTTTGCTCGATGTTGTGCAGTGAAGGCCACAATACGTGGAACACGCGGGAGAAGATTTGCTGCAGCGACTGCGCCTTGAAGCCTGCGGGTTTTGGACGACATTAGACGAGGCTCAGTGCCACCTCACACTGTTATCTCTATCATGGACGATGGTCAATTTCGAATTGCAGCAAAATATCTCCTCGCCCTCTTGCATATCGACGACAGGGTGAATGATGAGGTGATCAATTTCTATATGGCGCTGTTGGGCTCGACCGCATGTGGGTCGCGTGACATCTCGTCAGACCTTAAAGTCTTCAACTATAATTCGTTCTTCTTCAGTAAACTGCAACTTCAAGGACACGGTGGGGTGCAGAGGTGGGCTACAAACGTAGATTTGCTTCGATACGATATTATCTTTGTTCCTGTCCACAAAGATAATGATCACTGGATCCTCCTTTTCGTCAACTTGAGAGATGGTGTTCTCAAAATTTTTGATTTTTTTCCTCGCGTTGTAGCTGATTCGAGTTTTTACATTAGTGTTTTCGAGTTGATTGTAGAGTATTTGGAACGTCAAATATCACATATTAGGCGGTCGGGTACGAATTGGAAGTCGATATCGGGGAATGTTGTGGTGGATGGAGTTACGAGACAAGTGGATGACGCTAATTGCGGGGTGTTCATATTGATGTTTGCGACGTTGTTGCAACATGGTGATCGACCGCCTTTCAGGTTCTCTTGTGAAGATATTCAGCTTATCAGACAACAATTGGCATCGTGTATCTTAGAACATCAGTGTCTTCGATGGATTTGATTGACTTAGAAACTTTTTTTGAAGGTATTCCATTTGTTGTTGATTATATTTTGTAAATCACGACATTATGCAACTGTCGTTTTGACAACGACATTGCTTTCTTTTATCGTTGCGAGTTTGAGATGTCTTCGGTAGGCTCATTGCATGTTCAGCGTCATGTATAGACTTGGTAATCTCTGTCACGTCCCAGTCGTCTCTCATGCAGCGGAACATGTCATACATTGCGTTCCATGTTTCAAATTTTGTTCAACTCGAAGTGTACATATGATTGACAAATTGGTCGGTGGATGCATGACAAATCTCATCTACTGTGTGACAAATCTCGGCGAGTGGATGCATGACACACTGGTCGGTGGACGTATTAATAAATGTAAGGACCAGTGGCGTCATGTCCATTGCGTGTGCATAGGATCACATGCGTTGTGACCACGTGCATTGAATGTAACCAACAACCTTGCGTCCGTGTCCAAACCTTCTTTGCATGGCCATTTAAAATGCGGATTTCGATCGTGAATAAGCATAATTTGAAGTTCCAGACTTGCACACAGAATGTCAAAATTAAGTGGTCGTTACAATACACCTTGCTCATCACAACTGTAAACAAGTATGAATCTCAGTGCCCTCATGTCCGGCGAGATGATGAGCGTGCTTATATGCGGAAGTCCGGATCTCTTTAACATCCAAACAACCGTCTCGGGCGAGACGATGGGTATGCTTGCACAACTTAGGGATAACATAGTAAATAAAATTTAATGTGTTATCCAACAACAATTCAATCATGACACCTTGCTCATCACATTTTTTTAACTTGAAGTTTAACAAGCATGGATCTCAGCACACTTCCGCACATTGTCAGGGTTCCCAGACGGGCGTGCCTGTCATTAAAGTAAGTCTTCTAAACAAGTCCGAATCTCATCAAACATCGAAACAATCGTTTCAGGCGAGACGATGGACCTGCCTGTATAACTTTGGGATAGCCGAAATAATTATACTGTCCAATTCAATCTGAGTACATTGCTCTTATGTTGCACGCCCGACCGCAGCCGGGGGGGGGAAATCGGCCGTGGCCTCGGTCGACAGCCTAATCGGCCAGGTTCGGCCTCGGCCGACCAACCGATTTTGGTGCAGGATTTTTTTTTTTTTTCTAATGCATGAAAAAAAATAAAAATGGGCGTGTAGGGCTCAAAAACCCTACACGCCCATATTTTTTGGGGGGGCATTGGTGTTTTCTATTGCGCAACAAAAAATAAAAATGGAAAAAAGAAAAAAGAAAAAAAAAACGCTTCGAAACCCCGTGCAAGTATGTGTGTGTGTGTGTGTGTGTGTGTGTGTGTGTGTGTGTGTGTGT